CTTGTAGGTGTTTTTGCCCGTAATGGCTTTCTTATTTTCCTATTTTATGTTGCTTCAGCTAAAGAAAGCGGCAATTCCAAATATACAAGAGTGGAAGAGTTTGTGTCTTCACATATTAGAAAGGTAAATACATTTACACATTTTTCTGAGGGACAAAACCTATTCGAAGTTTGGATTGGACCAGGGGCGCAGATCGCTTTTTCAATGCGGGGGGGACCAGTGGCGTACACAGGATTTATTCAAAGGGGGTGGGACCGAAAGTGCGAATTCGATGTTCTCGGATGCCAAATTGTGCCTATTTTACGTCTATTACAGACATCCCCCCTAATTTGATTGCAGAGTATAGCGGCATGAGAAGGTTTCAGTTGACCTGGTGACGCCGTATCTTTATAGCTCTCAGAAATATTATAGAAAGAAAGGCACGTTGCTTGTTACTGAATTTTCCAGTCATCCAGTGGGTGCCCGCGACCTAGGAGAAAATTAATTTTGAATTAAAAACTTCAATTTTCACCTGGGTGATCTATAGGGCGACCGATACCTTTCAACCAATCAAATTTAATGTCAAGGCAAATCCACTCAGTGGCGGTCCGCCATTTGTACTGATCACATGATATGATGGACGAAAATTTGCGCACGATAAAATTCGGTACGTGTGGCCCTTCATGAGTGGAGATGGGTCCCAAAACGAACGAATGGTCTTCCATTTTGGCACTTTTTGATGTTCTTGGATGCCAAATTGTGCCTATTTAACATTCTACTCAACCAAGCTTGACCATATCATGTCCCCCCCAAAAGGTTGTCTAGTTGACATACCCAAGTAACAGATAAACATCTTTAACTATGTTAACAAAGTGAAATAGCTGCTGATTTGAATAGATTTGCCAAGTAACATTTGTCTCCTTCAAAGTAATTCATTAATTTTTGTTTATTTTTGTGTTTTTGCAGGTTGTGATGATTATAGCTGTAGTCATCTATTTAATATATTTTATAACAGCTCTGGTGTTTGGAGCCACCCGTGAATGCGTGAACACAACTCCACTTATAGTTCTGACATGTTTAATACTGGCATACTTCCTCTTTGGATTTATTATGAGGCATTTTGGAGAAAATATGAAAGAAAAGGGTCTTGATCCATGTGTAAAATTTCTAAACAATAAACAACGGATATTAAAAGGGTAGGTGTCAAATATCCATTTAGCTTTTCAAATCCATGATTGTGCCTGTTTTAGCACCTTCGGTTTTTTCAACCCAGTTTCTCACTGTTCATGTCAAATAAGGAAATGGAAAAATTTCCCACATTGCATACTGCAGTATTTATTGATGCTCTTTTCTTATTTGTAAAGGTTTTAATAAAGGACCATATGAAAGTATGAATTTGTATTTTGACTTCTGCTATTAGGCTAGCAGCCATTTTGAATTTGATCATTGTTGTTTCAGATTATTTGTGTTTCTTGCACTGGGAGGAATATTGGTTGTGATAATTGCTACAGGCGTTTACCAGCCCAGAAACCTCATCTCTGTTGTTGGCTATCTCTTCTTTGTCTTAATCCTGTTTTTATTCTCAGAACATCGTAAACAGGTGAGTTGATAAACTGGATTTTGGATGGGCTGTAGAATGGATGTTGTGTCATGTAAGAAGGAAGCTACGAAATGCCTGGCACTGAATTTGACCGTATCTTCCTTATAGTTGGACCTGACTAGCCTAGTCATCCTGGAAAATTAAAAATGATATAATCAATGAGGTAGACATGAAATAGTCTTGTAGCTATCGTAGATAATTAAAGATTATACAATCAATAAGGTAGACATGAAATAGTCTTATAGCTATCCTAGATCATTCAAGATGATACAGTCAGTGAGGTAGACATGAAATTGTCTTGTAGCCATCCTAGATCATTCAAGATGATAG